TTCCAAATTGACAGTTCTTTTCTTTCAGCACTTAAAAAGGGTTGAGTATTTTCTTTGGTCTTCATAGTTTCTGATGGAAAACACTGTCATTTGAATCCTTGTTCCTTTACCCAAGATTATTTTCTTTTGGATTTATCCTTTTTGGGCTTTGGTCATCGTGTGTGTGTGTGTGTGTGTGTGTGTGTGTGTGTGTGTGTGTGTGTGTGTGTGTTTGAGACAGAGGCAGAGAATGAGCAGGGGAGGGGCAGAGAGAGGGGGAGACACAGAATCCAAAGCAGGCTGCAGGCTCTGAGCTGTAAGCACAGAGCCCAGGGTGAGGCTTGAACTCGTGAACTGCGAGATCAGGACCTGAGCCGAAGTCTGACACTCAACTGATTGACCACCCAGGCGCCCCATGGTCATCTTCTTGATACTACACTTTATCTTAGCTAAAAGGACAAGAAGCGATTGGTCAGCTTGTTGAATCTTTAGGTTTATCTTTGACAAATTTGGAAATTTTTAGGCATCTTTTTTCCTACATACATTTTCCAGTCCACCTGCTTTCTCTTCTCTGGAATTCTGATAACATTGAATGTTAGAATTTTTTTTTTTTTTTTTTATAGTCCTGTAAGTTTCCAGTCTATTTTTTCTTTCTTGTTCAAATTGGGTAATTTCTATTGTAGTGTTGTGTGTTTTGTTTCTCATTTTTAAGTAGGCTCCATGCTCAACATGGGGCTTGAACTCATGACCCTGAGATCAAGAATTGCTTGTTCTACTGACTGAGCTGGCTGGGCACCCCTCTACGGTAGTGTTTTGAAATCCATTCTTTTATCATCATCTTCATTCTACTGAGCCATTTAGGGTGGTTATTGTAGTTTTCAATTCTAAGATTTTCATTTGAGTGTATTTTCTTCCTCCTTTCTTTTTTTGCTAAAGCTTCCTGTTTTGTTTCAGGTATGTTTTTAGTTGGTCATAGGAGCATTTTTATGATGACTGCTTTGAAATTCTTGTCTAGAATTATCTGACATGGTGGCATCTGTTTTTTCTCATCGAAGTTGGGATTTTTCTTGGGTCTTGTTATGACAAATTTTTTTCAATTGCATTCTGGATGTCTTGAGAATTATGAGACTGCATCTAATTTAATTTTACATTTGAGCAGTTCTCCACTGAAACCACACCAGCAGGGAGAAATATAGACACTGACTCTTTATACCAAGTGAGTATAGCAGAAGCCTAGGACCATTCTGGATGGGATACAGAAGGGTGCCTAACTATGGGGCAAGAATTGAAATCTATGCTTTCCACTTACTCTCCACTGACACAGTGGAGGAGAGGAGTTGTGTCTTGTTACCATCAAGTAGGAGTGGAAGTCCAGGCTTTCCTCTTGGTCTCTGCTGATAACATCCTGGAGGGGGAGAGTTAGAGGTATCTCATTACACTGGGCAGGGGTTGAAATTTAGGTTTTTCACTTGGCTTTCACTTACCCTGTGGCGAAAGTGAGAAATGCCTTGTTACTGATGTAGGGATAAAAGTCCAGGTTCCCCATATAGTCTCCACTAATATAAGGGTGGTAGACATCTCATTACTGTTGAGTGGTAGTGAAAGTCCAGGCTCCCCACTTAGCTTTTGCTGACAGTGGTTGGGGGCCTGTGGTTTTCTCCACCTTCCACCTGCTCCAGGGTGGTATTGTCACAGAGTAAATACAGTTTCTAATACTTTAGAAACAGGGTATGTATTGTCACAAAGGTTTCTATCATGCTAGGCTACCTCTTCCCGGTTCTTTAGCAAGAGAGAGGAGGCTTTTCTTGGGGTTTTTTTTTGTAATCATTTTTTTAAAGTTCCTTTTAACCTACTACAAAAATAACATTTTTCTTATTCTGTAGAATAAGGCTTTAGGCCAAGGAGTATCACCTTAGTTGAAAACTTGCATCATTTGTACATTATAAAACTAAAACCCATCCCCCAAAACACTCAGTAAACAAACATTTTCTCTTAATTTTAATACTTCCATAAAAGGATAGCTAGCATTTTCAAGGCTCCCTTGGCAACAAAAATCACAAGAAGCATTTAATTCATCAGGTTTCTTTCTTTCTTTTTTTTTTTTTAAATGTTTATTTACTTTTGAGAGAGCGAGAGAGACGGAGCTCAGAGCTCAAGCAGGGGAGGGGCAGAGAGACACAGAATCCGAAGCAGGCTCCAAGCTCTGAGCTGTCAGCACAGAGCCCAACGCCAGCTCAAACCCATGGACTGTGAGATCATGACCTGAACTGAAGTCGGATGCTCAACTGACTTAGCCACCCAGGAGCCCCTAAGTCATCAGGTTTTTTAATGATGTGAAATGTTTTGTTGTTTAAGCCTGTGCCCTACCAAATGAAAAACATGAAAAGCAAGACTGGAACACTTTTGCCAGTCACTAGAATACAGTTTTAAAACCCTGGTACTCTGTGTTACTGAATCACTTAGACAAATCTGATATTTATATGCATTGATGCAGCTATTCCTTGACCAAAGGATGATCCAATTAACACTGTAGGGACCTGGCCCTTCCCTATAGGGCTAACCTATTCAATAAGTCTTGGGTACAACTGTAGAGAGAAGATGTTTGTTTCTGCTGAAGCCATGAAAGTAAGTTTATCTCTCAGTTGGTGACATTTTGGTAGAGTATGAACATGTGAACATGTGACATTTTGGTAGAGTATGAACATGTGAACAATTTGGTATAGTATGAACATGTGAACAATTTGATTCTCCCTGATGGCTTAAAAAATTGAAATGGTTTCTGTAGAAATGGGCAGCTGGGACTGTGTCCAAGAAAAACAAATTCCCATTTTGGAGAAGTAACTTTATTGATTTCTGATTATGAAAATATTACATGCTGTTGGTTAAATGTAAGAAAATATAGAAAAATGTGAAGAAAATAAAAATTAGAGCGAACTTTTTTAACATTTGGTGAGTATCATTTTTTTCTGGTATGCATAGATGTTTTTTATGTTTTTTAGACAGAGGATCATGCTACATGCTCCTTAGTATTTTGTTTATTGCATTTACTATGTCATGGACATTGTATCATATCAATTAACGTAGGCCTATACCGTCTTATCAGTTAACCTGAAGGAATCCTTTAGCCTGAAAAATTGTGCTTAATTCTTTGAATTTACATCTTTGAGTATTGGTGAGATCCTTTTATATATCTTTATTTTGTTAGTTACCAGCTCCTATCATCTACTTTTTTCCCTTGGGGTGTTCAGCTTATTAATATTTATTTGTAAGAGCCCTTAATGTATCGGGGCGCCTGGGTGGCTCAGTCAGTTAAGTGTCTGACTTCGGCTCAGGTCATGATCTCGTGGTTTGTGAGTTCGAGCCTCATGTCAGGCTTTGTGCTGAAAGACTGCTTTGGATTCTGTGTCTCCTTCTCTCTGCCCATCACCTGCTCACACTCTGTCTCTGTCTGTCTGTCTGTCTCTGTCTCTCAGAAGTAAATAAACCTTAAAAAACATTAAAAAAAAAAAACTCTTTATGTATTTACTCTGGGTATTTCACAGACAGTGAAATGTTTTCTAAGTTTACTGTTTTTAAACTTTGTTCATAGTGGTTTTTTCATTTAGATATTTAAAATATTCATGTAGTTGTATTTTTCCTTTTTTCTTCCTTTATGGTTTCCAACTTTGGTGGTCAACATGTGTTTTGACAATATATTTATAATAACTTAAAATTTTTTTCCCTTGCTTTTTCTCTCAGTCTTTTTCTGATTCTGGATGATGAGGCCACTCTGTAGTTTAGTTACTTCACTTTTAGTAACATAAACCTGTTTCTGTATTCTTTTTTTTCCCTTTTAATTGATTTATCTATTTTTGAGAGAGTGAGAGTGGGGAGAGCAGAGAGAGAGAGAGAGAGAGTGAATCCCAAGCAGACTACACATTGCCAGTGCAGAGCCTGATGCAGGGCTTGAACTCATGAACCGTGAGATCATGACCTGAGCTGAAATCAAGAGTCGGACGCTTAACTGACTGAGCCATCCAGGCGTCCCTGTATTCTTTTCGAATGTATAGTGAAATAGTATTTATAAACAATTTGTAAATTCCATTTGGAGGTATCTCTTCTCTTCATCCTGAATTATAAAATCTGAAATTTATTTCACTGAGAAATAATGTGGCTGTAGATGGAAATGCTAACTTTATGAAGAAACAAAAGTAATCAAAATATTAACACAAGAATATTAAAATGATGTAATATTGTGATAGTGTCAATATTATGATACGTTGGAATTAAAATTTAAAGTATTAGAAACTGTAGCATTATCAGCATATGCCTCATCTGTAATACCTACTTATGAGCAATAATTTTCAAAATGATTTCTTTTTGGTATCCTAAAATGTAGGAGTTTGACTACTTTTGTTTTGCCAGCTAGTACCTATTAGAATGATGAGGTGGTGTTTCAGATGTGAATTGGCATTTCCAGGCAGTATGGATTTCCCCCCAGTGTCTCCTTAGTCTTAGATTTGTCTTGTAATTGGTCAGCTTTCAGCAGTAGTCTGTAAAGTAACACTTTGTATGAGGGTTGATTTTTCTGTGACTGATGTTAAATTGCTTTAGTGGTGGCTGTACTTCTTATATCAGAAATATAGTTTGTTGTAAAATTTTCCCATGGCACAGAAATGTAAATAATTAAAACCTCACATTTTTCTCCTTGATTCCATTCCCCAGATGTAACTAGTTTTAATCGTGTGATATGCCCTTCCAGGCATTTTCTGTGTTCTTACAGTGCTTATGTTTACAGAATTGAAAAATGACATAAATTATTATTTAGCAAGGAGTTTTTGTGGTTGGCAAATAAGTTGATACCTTGGGATCAGAAAACCCTGTGCTGCTGAACTTATTTACCAAAAAATATTTATGAAAGAAAATACCTGAAGAAATGCACAAAAGTGAGAACAATCAACCAAAAAGATGCTGTTACTAAAGAGTACAAACAACTCTCGTGTGATAAATAGCACTAAGCTTCTGTGTATTTGTCATTCAAGGGTGCAACTGGAAACTGATTTGAAGATTGAGAAGGAATGGAGGCAGACTTTGCAGGAAGATCTTCAAAAGGAGAAAGATGCCTTATCTCATCTTAGAAATGAGACCCAGCAAATCATTAGTCTTAAAAAAGTAAATGGTGGTAAAACTTTTTAAAAATTGTATCTTTGAAAACTAAGTTACTTAAAAGGAGAAATCATAATTTATATTTATACCAAAGAGACAGAATATACTAGTCATCTTTAAAAATACCAATAAGAAGTGGCTCTTGGCTGACTCGGTTGGTAATATATGCAACTCTTGATCTTGGAGTTGTGAGTTTGAGCCCCACGTTGGTTGGAGAGTTTACTTAAAAAACACAAAACCAGTAAGGAGATTAAATGAATGTGAAGTAGGTGATATTTGATGGAGCAGCGATGAAAGAACTTGGACATAGAGTTCTATTTTTTATAAAAAACTAAAGGATATGTGTTCCTAATTATTGGTATGTATACAATTTGGAGTTTCTTGTTTATTTCCTTTAAATTGCATTTTCTGTCTTTTTCTTGTTTTGAAGGAGTTCCTTAACATCCAGGATGAAAATCAGCAGTTGAAAAAAGTACATCACGAACAGGAGCAAGCTCTTCAAGAACTTGGCAGCAAACTTAGCGAGTAATTTCTCCTTTTTTTCTTCATCTCTGTAATCATTGACTTGTATAAAGGTATGAATGAGTGTGCCAAACCAAGTAGGAAGAAAAGTTTAAATGTAGAAAAGAAAGATATGAACTATTAAGGAAAATCAAAACCAAACAAAAACCTTAAGGATAAACATGCAAGACTGTGGATTGGAGGGATTTTGTTAAAAGTTGTGTTCAGTTTAGTAAATTTAGCTGTAAACATTTCCTGTAGATAAAAGTTAAGACTCTAATTTCTTCAAATTAGAGAATTCAGAAGTCCATTTAATATATTTTTCCCAGAAAAACAGAAACCAAATTTCCAAACTGTCTGGAGAGATCTTCTTCAGACTGTTTTGAGAAGGAGCTAACATTGTGAGGAGTGGAGAGTGTTTTATGCTACAGTTGGGGCTTAACTTCATACAGCAAGGTTGGTTCTGTTGCAGTGAAGTGTTACTGGGTTCCTAGAAAGACAAGAAGGAGAAATGTTGTTCTTTCTCACACCTTCCTCCTTGTTCCGTGTAGTCTGTGTTTTGGGTTAGCAGCTTCATCTTTGTGCCCTGATAGAACATACTGCCAAGTATCTGAGATAAGCTCAAGAAGGTTTAATTTAGTATTAAATGTATCACTGCCATGTAAAAAAAAAAAGAAAAAAAGTGTCACCTTTTTTAACACCGAAGAGTAAGAGTAAGAAAGCTACAGTGCCCATAATCTTGTCACCTATGTAAATCCCTTTGATGTTTTTTATGGTTAGGAAGTTAGTACACCTTAGAACAAAACTGTACCTGAGCATCTCGGCCTTTATGTGGATGTAGTTAGTTACATATATATACCTATATATCATTTGTAAAATTAAACTCAATAGAAATCATAACTAGAATGGAGACTTCATTGCTAAAGATGAGATTTCTTTAAGAAGTCTTGAAACCAGTTTCCGGTTGCCACAGGAAAGAGTAGTTCACTAAAACCACTAAAGGAAATACCAGTTTTCAAAAAGATAAAGCTGTTGGGGCACCTGGCTGGTTCAGTTGTTAGAGCACGAGGCTCTTGATCTCAGGGTCATGGGTTTGAACCCACGTTGGAGGGTAGAGTTGGCTTAAAAAAACAAAACAAAGATAAAGCTATTTTTGTTTCTATCAATTCAAAGAACAATTTGCATTGTGACTCTGATAAGCAAGATTTCAATTCTAATCTGGCATCCACCTAGTGAGCACTTTGACTCGGACCCTATGCTAAGTGTTTATTACTTTATTTCCCATATATTCATTTGACAAATATTAAGCTTGTATTATGTGCCAGGCACTATTCCAAGTGCCAAGTACTCAGCAATGTACAATCCCCACAACAAAAAAATACTTTTATTAAGATCATAAAGGCTTAATATTAAAACAGATTAGAATAGGGGTGCCTGGGTGGTTAAGCATTGGACTTCAGCTCAGGTCATGATCTCATGGTTTGTAAGCACGAGTGTGTAAGCACCGCTTTGTGTGAGCCCTGCTCTCGCTCGCTCTCTCTCCCCTCCCTCTCTCCCTCTCTCCCTCTCTCCCTCTCTCCCTCTCTCTCTCTCTCTCTCTCTCTTTCTGCCCCTTGCTCACCTGTGCGCACACACTCTCTCTCTCTCTCAAAAAAGACCCCAAAAAACAAACCCCAAAACAGATTAGAATAGTAAAATGGGAATAACTTTTCACCCATCTCCCATGCAGTGCTAAAGACTGTGGAGTTGTAAACTCGTGATCATTTGAATGTTCAGATAGCTGAATTCATCACTTTTTTTCTTTTGAAGATTTTATTTTTAAGTAGTCTCTACACCCAATGTGGGGTTTGAACCTATAACCCTGAGATCAACAGTTGTGTGCTCTACTGACTGAGCCAGCCAGGCGCCCCTGAATTCACTTTTTTCCCCCCTTTTTCCTTTAGACTGGTTCATTGTTTCTCAAATTTTATTTTGCATGAAAATTACTGCTCAAAGTTGGATATACTCAACAATCTATACTGAACTTTATGCGCTATTTAAGGAATTTTCAAGAGTTATTTTGATTAGGTTTTTTTGCATGTACGGACTGCATGTCTAACCCCTGTGTAAACTACTGTATGCATGTTCTTCTGAAGTTTGTGGTTTTTTTTGTTTTTTTTTTTTTGTCTTTTTAGGAATATATTAGAGGTTTTTCTGTATCAGTACATACTGATATTCCATAGGATGGATGTGCTATAATTGAAACTGTTTCTAATTTTTTTCTTTTATAAATGATACTGCTGTGAACATCCTTGTATGTACATGTTGATATCTTGATATACTTAAAAAATTTTTTTTAATGTTTATTTATTTTTGAGAGAGACAGAGACAGAATGCAAGTGGGTTAGGGGCAGAGAGAGAGGGAGACACAGAGTCTGAAGCGGGGCTTGAAGTCACAAACTGTGAGATCATGACCTGAGCTGAAGTCAGATGTTCAACCGACAGAGCCACCCAGGCACCCCGATATACTTTAATGAGGATATCTGAAGAGTAATTTCCTAGAGGTGATTGCTGCCCCAGAAAGAATGTGCTTTAAAAAATTCTGGTCATAACAAAACATCCTCCATCCAGTAGTAGGAGAGAATGCCTGTTTTTGCCACTTTGACAGTTGAAATTCTTGTTTTAATTTGTGTTTCTTTAACCATAAGCAAGGTTGAGCATCTATATTTATTTATTTTTTAAGTAATCTCTATTGCCAATATGGGGCTTGAACCCATGACCCTGAGATCAAGAGTCATATGCTCCACCGACTAAACCATCTGTGTGCCCCTGAGTATCTGTATGCATTTGTATTGCATTTGTATTTATAGTTTATTGCCTATTCATATCTTTTGCATATTTTTTGGTTGACTTGCTCATTTTTTTCTTATGGGATTTTAAAAGTTGTACACGGTGTACGTCTTTTTTTTTTTTTTTTTTTTTTTTTTTTACCAGTTTGTCTTTTGTCCTTCATTTATGATACATTTTTTTCTCATTAATCTTCAGATTTTTGTGGCGCAGATTTATTAGTTTTCCTCTACTGTTTCTGGGACCATAGTTCATAAGACATGGGTAGGGCCCGTTTTGAGTCAGAACTTATTTTATCTTTCTCAACTGTTGTCCTCTGAGTGGCGAGAATAATTTATCGGGGCTGGATGAGGTGCAGTGGCCCCTGTGAGTTTCCCTGTATCAGTTTATCTGTGAAATGCCTGTTCCTTCTCTTCATCCTCCTGCTCCTGTGATTAGAAGCTATCAGATTGAAATTAAGTAAAAACCGATTCTTCCCTGATACACAGGGTGATGAATATTTGTTACAAAATTTGTTGATAAGGGAGGGACTGAGGTTGGATCAGTACTTTATAATCTTTGCTTCTATTTCACCAGAAGGCTATATATAGACCATTTGGATATTATTTAAAATGGGGAGTGGGAGGGGAAAGGTCATTTGGAATAATAGGAACCAAATTTAATTTTGTTAAAAGGTAAAAGTTATATTTCAGGAAGAATAGTTTTTATTTATTTTAAGTTTATTTGAGAGACAACATGAATGGGGGAGGGGCAGAGAGAGAGAGAGAGAGAGAGAGAGAATTTCTCCCAAGCAGGATCCATGCTGCCATCGTAGAGCCTGACATGGGGTTCGAACTCATGAACCCATGAGATCATGACCTAAGCCAAAACCAAGAGTTGGATGCGTAACTGACTGAGCCACCCAGGTGCCCCTGGAAAGAATAGTTTTTAAACTTAACATTCAATCATTTTCAAATTATGATTAAACTTAAAAATTAGTATTCATTAGTATTCATCTACCATTTACCAGCTTTGTGACTTAGGGTTATTTAACCCCTTTAAGCCCACTTCTACATTTGTAAATGGGAGAGCTGTAAAATCCCCAAAGGGTTCTTTTTCTAATTAACTGAGAATAAATATGTGAAAGCAGCTAGCACAGTGCCTTTGCTTATCACAACTGGAGTATCATTTTCTTGTCAGATGAGGTTGGATGGGAAAATTACTCTCTAGTGCTCACTTTCTGAACCTATGATTTTAAATGTAAATGATTAATTTTAACTAGAAAAATACTTTCACTAATGAAATATTTACTCCTATTGGCTTCTTATTGAAGGATTCTTTAAAATAATTTTTGATAGATTTTGAAAGGTTTTAAATGTCCTGAGTGAATTATAGTTGTAGAGAGACTAATTTGAGGGTTGAACAAAATGAAGATAAACTTCATATTTGAAGAAAATGTGGAGCATGAAATGTCAGGGTGGAGTATACAAGGAAGAGAATGTAAACTAATATATCTGTGTTATAATGACAGAGTTTAAAATAAATGAAGGGTCACCTGAGTGGCTTGGTTGAGTGTCTGACTTCAGCTCAGGTCATGATCTCACAGCTTGTGAGTTCAAGCCACGCATCAGGCCCTGTGCTGACAGCTCGGAGCCTGGAGCCTGCTTCAGATTCTGTGCCTTCCTCTCTCTCTGCCCCAACCCACTCGCATTCTGTCTCTGTCTCTCTCAAAAATAAATAAACATTAAAAAAAATTTTTTTTTAAATACATGAAGGGTGATAGCTAACTTTCCCATTAACCTCACCAAGGCCTACATTCTAACAACAAGAATTTTTAGTTTAAGAAAAGAAAATTTCCAGGACTCTTCCAAATGTAGTATTCTGTAAATGATATTCTTTCCACGTAAGCAGACTTACAGATTTGTTTTCTTTCCTCACAAGCAGAGGTTTTGGGATTATCAGAGGCTTGTGGAATTTATGGATGTTTTCCTCTAGAATCGTAATCGTGTCATAATCGATTGTGTCACATTTGTTAGTCTCCTATCTGATTTTGGCCCTTCTCTGTGCTGTCTTCATGCCATGGTCAAATATATTTCACACACTTTAAATTCTTGTTCCTAAATGAAAGCTAATTAAAATATGTAATATAGACATCTGTTTCCTCCCTGTCCAGGACAAAGAGGACATGTTCTTGTACATTGCTTTTATTGGAACTGTAACTGATACTCCTTTCTTTGGGATACTTTGGCAGTTCGTATCAGAGGGGGACAATCTTTACGGTGTCTCTCTCTATATATAGTCCATAGCTGTGAATGAAGGCATTCATAACGATTTATGCAGTGAATGCCATTAAGCTACTTTCATTCCATATTCAATTTTTCTGTGTAGCACAGTTGCTGTTTTGGCCATGATTCCCATCAGCATTAATTTTGTTCAGGCACATTTTGTAGATGTGAATTCAGCCAAGAAAATTTTAGTATTGTGTTTGTACTTTTAAGCTGTGTAATTTTACATTGATTATTCCCATTGTAAAAGTGTGAACTGGGTAAAAAACTAACATTTTTGTTTTTATGTCTTGAACAAAGCATTTGTAGTGTGAAGCAAGTTCCTAATGTTCTACCTCAGGAGCAGAGATGTTAGTTCATGGACCTTTTGATTCAGTAATTTCATTTATAAGTTATCCTGAGAAAAATAATAAAATATTTTGGTCATTCCAATTTTAATGAACAATTTTTGTGGCAAAGAATTTGAGACAAGTTGAAAGTTCAACAGTAGATAATTATATAAACTACTTTATATTTTTCATTGTTTACGACGTAACCACTTAAGATAATGATGTGGCAGATACTTAATAACAGTCAGCTCTCAGCCTTTCAGGAGATATTATTACCTGAAAAGAGCTGTTTATGGAAAATTATATAACTGATGGTTCCATTTAAAATACGTACATACTCATCTCCTCAACATGTAGATTATTGTCTCTTGGTGGTGGGATCACAGATAATTACTGCTGTTTGTAATCTGCATGTTCATTAACATGTGTTTTCAAAAGGTGAAAAGTATCACAACTCTATTTTCCTTAATATTTCTATTCTTATCATTCTTTTGCACCTGGTAGAGAAACAGTGTGCGTAATGGTTAGCATGTGGGCTCCAGCGTTATGGAGACCAGGGTTTGAATCCTGCCTTGCGCAGTTACTACCTCTGTGACCTCTTACGGGGGTGAAACCTCATTAGGCTTCACCTTATTGATCTTTATTGTTGTTGTTGTTTTTAACTGATCTTTAAAATAGGGTTTTGGTTTTTTTTTTTAAGATTAAATGAGTATATGCATGTGAAGTTTATAGCAAGGTGTCTGGCACACATAAGCCTACAATAAATGATAGCTTTTATTAATATTGTCATAACCACATGAAAATGCCATATTCTTCTGTTAAAGCAATTTTTAAATTTAAAAAGGACATTTTTGCTTTAGGAAATTTAGAAAACACAGGAAAACAAAATATAATTCTACTAGTCAAAGATGATTAGAATCATGTATGTACAGCTTTGTATTCTATGAAAATCCAATACCTTAATAATGAATTGCTGGATGTTCTATATTTAATGTATTTACTGAAATATGGATCTATTTTATAATCTTTTTAGATCAAAACTTAAAATAGAAGATATAAAAGAAGCCAACAAAGCACTGCAGGTGAGTAGGAAGTGTCTTCCTCAAGTAGGGAAGTATAGATATATGTGACAGTCTCCAACAGAAGGTAAAAAAAGTCCTGTATGAATCTAAGGTATTGTAACTGAGTCCCACGATGTATAGAGGCAGAAGCGCTAAACAGGGAGCTGGGACGATGGGGATCCAGCTCCTCCCTAATATTCCTCTAGAATTAATAATCATGTTGGAAATGACCTTGGAAATAATTTTATCTACTCTCCTACAAAGCATGGCATGACAAAGTGAAACAGTCTTTGACTTTGAGCCCGAGTTCCTATCCTGGTCTGTTACTTATCAGGTTTTGACCTTCAACAAGTCATACGTTTATGGAGTCTGTTTTCTCTTCTGAAATGGCTGGTGAAATGGCCTTATGATTTTGCACGGCGTTGCTTTGAATATTGAGGTTAATATGTGTGAAAAGTGATTAGTACAGTCTATCAGTATATGATTCTGAATGTGTCTGGATACAGGAATCCCTTCTACAACACAGGAGAAAAATGGTCTCTCTGTGAGTACTTCAGTGAGATTGCCTCCTACCACATAGCTTCCCATTTTTTTAATTATTATTTTTTTTAATGTTTATTTACTATTGAGAGACAGAGACAGAGAGAGACGAGCCTGAGCAGGGGAGGGGCAGAGAGAGGGGGAGACACAGAATCTGAAGCAGGCCCCAGGCTCTGAGCTGTCAGCACAGAGCCCGACACAGGGCTTGAACCCACAAACCGCGAGATCGTGACCTGCCGAAGTTGGATGCTTAACCAACTGAGCCACCCAGGAGCCTCATAGCTTCCCGTTTTTAAAAAGTTATTTATTTTGGGAGCCCTTGGGTGGCTCAGTTGATTAAGTGTTTGACATGTGATTTCAGCTCAGGTCATGATGTCATGGTTTGTGAGTTTGAACCCCATGTTGGGCTCTGTGCTGACAATGTGGAGCCTGCTTGGGATCCTCTCTCTCCCTCTGTCCCTCCCCTGCGCATGCTTTCTCTTTCTCTCTCTCTCAAAACAAAATAATACACTTAAAAAAAATTAAGTAATCCCTACACCCAGTGTGGGGCCTGAAGTCACAACCACAAGGTCAAGAGTTGCACGCTCCTCTGACTGAGCCAGCCATGTGCCTCCATTTTGTTTTTTATCAAAAAACATGAAAATGTTACATGTAAATAATTTAAAAGGTAAATTAGTGCTGGGAGGACTTAAAAAAAAAATAGTAGCAGTCTCTTGTTCTTCACCCCCTTGTGCCTTATCCACCCTAGCTCCTGCCATCTGAAGGGAGCTACTCTGAATTCTCTTGGTTATTTCTTCTGGTACTTATCCCCCTATTTCTAAATAATATGCAGTATAATTCACTCATTTATTTAAGACCTATTTTAGATATATATTATTATTTATTTCTTTGAGAGAGAGACAGACAAACAAAGAGAATATCCCCAGCAGGCTCCACGCTGTCAGCACAGAGCCCAAAGCGCGGCTTGAAAACGAACCATGAGATCATGACCTGAGCAGAAACCAAGAGTCAGGTGCTTAACCAACTGAGACACCCAGGCGCCCCTATTTTAGACCTGTCTATTGCCTGGTCAACATGGTAGATGAGTATTTGCTCACTCTCACCTTGGTCTGTTTGCTCTTCACCGTCCTCCCAATATAATTAAGTAAAAGTTTCTGTAGAATTCATTTACTGGATATACTTTATTATGGCTATTGAAATATTCTTTGTTGGGCCATGTGGTATATATTGTGACTATATTTTCTTTCTTGAACTACTTTTTTCCTCTGGAGTTAATAATTGCCTTAAAAGTTTTGTTGTATTTGAACATCAGAGTTTGCTCATACCTTTAAACACCTCTATAATATGCTGATAAAAGTTTTCCACATGGTAAAATGAATCAGGTAATTATTTAATTTTTTTTTTTCCTTGGAGTCCTCCCTCCTGGAGTTCTTTGCTCTCCTGCTCCAGTCTGGTCTGGTTAGCCCTGTCTTGACATTTTCCTTTTCTTCCATTCTCAGAATTCCCTTTACCCTTCTTGAATGTTAGAGCTCCTGTTACCTGAACCCCTTAACTTCTTTCTTGGTTTACTCCCTTGTTTGGGACAACGCATTCTTTGATAGCTTCCTGGAAAATGTTGAATGAAGGTCCATGTTTTAAGAATTTGTGCATCTGCATAGATGCCTTTTATTTTGCTCTCACATTTTTTTGGACGGGTATGGGTGTCTGCCCAACTGTCATTATTTAAACTCTGTAAAATTTTTTTCATTATGACACATGCCATGTATATAACTGTATTCATACAACTTAAAAACGATGGCATACTCTGTGACTTAGTTTATAGGGAGATTACATTCTCCTCTTTACAGTAGTAATTCTCTATTTTGTGTTAACCACTGTTGTTTTTCTTTATAGTTTTATCATTCATGTCTATCTTTATAAAATGTCTAGATTTTTGTTTTTGTATACATATGAAAATGGATTTATTTATATGTGACTTAATTTTTCTTGTCCTTGCTATTGACCTGTTGACTGGTTCTGGGAGGGCTGTCCTCCAGTTTCTTACATTCTGGATTTTATCTGCCGTTTCATAGTAGCACACTTGTTCCTCTGTCCTCTTATTGCCTGTAAACTGGAAGTTAAACCTAAAAGGCTTGGTTAGATTCTGGTGCAGACTTCTCTGAGAATTTTTATCCCTGCTACCATATTTTTAATATTCAGCAGGCCTTATTTATTCGTTTTGCCTTTTAAAATTAGCAATCTGGGGCGCCTGGGTGGCGCAGTCGGTTAAGCGTCCGACTTCAGCCAGGTCACCATCTCGCGGTCCGTGAGTTCGAGCCCCGCGTCGGGCTCTGGGCTGACGGCTCAGAGCCTGGAGCCTGTTTCCGATTCTGTGTCTCCCTCTCTCTCTGCCCCTCCCCCGTTCATGCTCTGTCTCTCTCTGTCCCAAAAAATAAATAAACGTTGAAAAAAAAAATTTTTTTTAAATAAATAAAATAAAATTAGCAATCTGCATTTTATCTCTGATGATATTCATTATAGTTTCTTTAAAGTTTTCTTTTGCTACTGCCATTCTGTCTTCTGAATTCCCTTCTTGGGTTTGTTTCTTTGGCTGAAGTACGTCCTGCCTGTCATTCCTTAAATGTTGGAATATCCTCCCATCTCAATAAAGGCACAAAAAATCTTGGAAGTCCTGTGTGTGTTGGCTGGGCGGATGAGAGTGGGTTGTTACGGTAAGCCTCACCATTGAGAAATCTGTTAACTCACAAACTGTTGGCCACCCTCTCCAAATTATGTTAATATCTATAGGACTTTTCTCTGGGGCAGTTGAGTTTCTCCAGAGAAGGATCCTCTAATATCCTGTCTTGGGGGTGTAAGTTGGGCAGCTGACATTTTGGAATTGGACAGAGAATAAAGGCCATGTTTACAGAATGATAGCTTCTAGTTTTGGCTCTGCTTGAAAACTGCTGTTTCCTTGAGGAGGCAACTTCAGCTCTCTGGACAAGTTTTCACATCTGTAAAATGGGAATGGAGTTGCTAATCTCTGAGGTCCCTTCCAGCTGATGCACAAGGCTTGCCCTGCAGTGTACACATACAGCCTTTCTATTTGGGAGACAGGCAGGGTGAATTCAGTCAGATTAAAATAAGATTGGAAGGCCAAGCTCTGATGTCAGAAAGATTAATTCTGAACCTAACGATGCTGCTTTGAAACCTGCTTCACATCAGGCTTGCCATCCCTTAAGGTATAGCTTGGCAGGAAGCAAATCTGCTTCCACTAGGTGACTTTTGGACATTTGGGAAGTCACTTTCCTTTTTAATGGCATTCATCAAGTTGCATTGGATTATTATTTTAAATGTTTTCTTTTTTATTTTTGAGAGAGAGCATGAGTGGGGAAGGGGCAGAGAGAGAGAGGGAGACACAGAATCCAAAGCAGGCTCTAGGCTCCAAGCTGTCAGCAAACAGCCTGATGCTGAGCTCAAACCCACGAACCACGAGATCATGACCTGAGCTGAAGTCGGATGCCTAACCGACTGAGCCACCCAGGTGGCCCACACTGGATTATTTTTGAGTTCTCATCTTGCTTTAAAAAAAAATTCTACAATTCAAATCATTTTTAAAAAATTTTTAAATATTTATTTTTGAGACAAAGCACAAGTAGGGGAGGGGCAGAGAAAGAGACACACACAGCATCCAGAGCAGGCTCCAGGCTCTGAGCTGTCAGCTCTAGTCAACATGGACTAGAACTCACGGACCGTGAGATCATGACCTGAGCCAAAGTCGGACGCTCAACTGACTGAACCACCCAGGTGCCCCCAAGTCATTTGATTCTTTACTGGTATTTGATAGTAGCTATCCAGGTTTTTTTCTTTTCTTTAGCTTACTTTAAGAATATATAATACAGGGTGCCTGGGTGGCTCAGTTGATTAAGAATATATAATATATACATGTAATACATATGCAAAATATGTATTAGCTGTTAATTCATAATGCTTCTGGTCAACAGGTTTTTAAATGTAGTTAAACTTTGGGGAGTTCCAGTTATACGTGGATTTTTTGCCTCTGTGGTGGATTGGCACCTCTAACCCCCAAATGGTTCAAGGATCTGCTTGGTTCTTTGGCATTGTGCCTTAGTCTGGGCTATTTTAAAAAGGAACATGTGGTGAGATTAATCAGAAGCACTCAAGTATCTTCTCATTATAAAGCTGGCATCATCTAACAAAGTTGCTTTTGTAGGGAAAAAATGTTCTTAGCCAGGGTCTTGGATGGGTTAAGAATGGGTCAATTTAGAAATTTCAGGTGTCAAGTTAACTCTCACCGGTTAAAGACTACTTACATACATTTTCTACTTATCTACACAGTAGCTATTAAATTTGTTATATAACTTAAGGGAAATTAATAGCCATATAAAACAACATAAGGTGGTATCTAAAATGACTTCAAACGTGATTTCCAAATTCTCTTCAAATTTAAGGACTTATGGTGGTATATGGTATACATTATGCCAAGCTCATGCATTTCATAGTGAAAATGTATCCTTATTGTTGGACTAGATAATGTCCAAGGTTTTTTCTTTTTTTAAAAAAAAAAATTTTTTTTAATGTTATTTTTGAGAGAGGGAGAGACAGAGTGCAAGCTGGGGAGGGGCAGAGAGAGAGAGGGAGACAAAGAATCCGAAGCAGGCTCCAGGCTCCGAGCTGTCTGCACAGAGCTGTCTGCACAGAGCCCGACACGGGGCTCGAACTCACAGACCGTGAGATCATGACCTGAGCCAAAGTCGGATGCTTAACTGACTGAGCCACCCAGGCGCCCCGGTTTTTTCTTTCTTAAAGTGAACTCCCATCAATGGATTTAAAAACAAAAATCATGGAAATGTCCACATACAGTTGTACAGAGAAGTTAACCCAGTTTCAATATTTAACAATATATTGCCAATCTTATTTTATTTATATTCAACCCCTACCCCTTCTTCCTTATCCAGATTATTTTGAAGCAAATCCCATACTTGTTTCTCTCTCCAACTATTTCAGTATTTCTATATATTCCTACAAGAGGTTCTTGGTTGAAAATGTTTTCACATGTAATTTTTATTGTTAACACTTTGAGCATTAATATGTACACTTCTTCCTACTAGGGACTGGTTTGGTTGAAAGACAAAGAAGCAACACATTGTAAACTTTGTGAAAAGGAATTCTCACTCTCCAAGAGAAAGGTAAGGGAGATAGGAAGTGAATCCAAAAGCTTTGGTGCAAACATGTCTTCTAATTTTATTCATTCTTTGATTTTTCCATTTAATAGCACCACTGTAGAAACTGTGGGGAAATTTTCTGTAATGCTTGCTCTGACAATGAACTGCCGTTGCCTTCTTCACCAAAGCCAGTACGGGTTTGTGATTCCTGTCACGCATTGCTGATCCAGAGATGCTCATCTAACTTGCCATAAAACTCCAGAACTAAGTCCTTACGTCTGAAAGTACCTACAATGGATGGTTAATGTATGAACCTGCATATGCTGTGTTTAGACAGTCCTTCTTAAGCAGCTTTCAGATGGTATTAGTTATCAGTTTTATCTTCCACACATTCATGGGAATTAGAAGCTATAGAATAGCTCATTGTTATTCAAGAACTTTCAACAGGGCATGCTTTAACTTTAGCTTAATTCCTCATTAACTTTTAACGCCATTTAAATCATGCAACTTTTAACGCCATTTAAAAGGCCAGATAACAAAGCTCTCACACACACACACACACACACACACACACACACACACACTTGCCTTATTTTGTAAAGGCCTTCTGTAGGGGTGCATATTAATTCTCCGGATTGTCAAGTTGGCATTTGATGATGCCTGTAGTTTTAATGCACTTTAAAGCTTCACAGTTTTCAGAGAAAGATCAGAAATACATTGGACTTTTTGCAAGTATTAATATTCCAACTCAAGACTTTTCCTTAGCTTGCAAAGATTTCAACCCTAACTTTGTCCTTTCTGCCCTACTTCATTTGCCCGTCTTGCATTAGAAAAGGCCAGTACTTTATCCTATAGAATTTCCTTTTGGTCATCCTCTAATCATTAATGTATTTATTAGTATTTCTCAGATACAGTGGTTTAAAGAGGTATTATTTTACCTCAATTTTTTCCTTTGAAAGGAAGTTAAAACTTACCCTCCTTTACCTTTCTTTTTACCAAAAAAAGAAAAAAGTTCTTACAGATCTTTCCATATGCTATACCTGCTAACACTGCTAGTTTTTTCAGGGAGGGCTCATACCTCTTTCAAAAGAAAAATCTGTCCCCAGAAAAAAGGTTTATTAATAGTAAGGGATTACAGGCTCCTGATTGGTTCTCCTCTGAGCATTAAAGGAGAAATCTAAAATAGCTAAACTTTGCCTTTGATAGGACTTGGGTAATTAACTTTATTAGATTTCCATTCTAGTGACTTTTAGGAAGCATTACATCATAGTGATCCACTACTGCAGTTATAAACACAGTGAACTCTTCACCATATAATGAGAACCTCTAAGGCAGGATTCTTTCTGGAACAGATGATCTGGTCTCAGCCCTGCCATGAACACATGAACTATGTCAAGCATGAAAGATTCAGTGAACACTAATCCCATTATACGGCTTGTAGCATACCAAGAATATGTAAAGTTACCCTTGTAGGAGTAATCTTTGAATAGCATCACCACTTGGGAGACCCCTCTTAGGTATTTTTAGCCATGCACTTTAAGTCTATGAATCTTTCACACAGTCAGATAGGAATTTATTAATCCCAGGAATATTATAGAGAATTAATCATGACCACTTCCCTCCTACCTAAAATGGTTACTTACTCTGCAGGATCATTTCCTCAGAATATACGTATTTTCACTTGGGTTTAAAAAATGAATTTTCTAAATTGCCAAAGTATGAAACCAGTATTTTACTTGCATTATTTTCTCCATATCCAGTTAGCTTTTGAGGTCTTCAGTTAGAACTGCTGTACAGATTTTTAGGTGGTCTTTCTTGAATGTCGACAGAAATATTGTCAAGAGATGAATTATATTCTTGAACTGTTTTGTATTGATGGGATGAATTAACATTTTTATGATTACTAAAAATGAGAATAAGCAAATATGAAATTTCAAATACTAGGTGTTTATTACTGTGCTTACTAGAACAAATTTTTGAATGTGATTTTGCTTAAATTCCAAGGCTGGCTTCATTCAACAGACCATGATTTTCAGTCCCCTTTAAATTCATTATTCAAAACTCCCATTATCCCCATTGATTTGGGCTTTTTGTATGCAAGCCTTTGGGACAGCAATACAACTTGCTTCATTTAGTTTGGGCTCTTATTTAAAAACTATTACTAAATTTTGGATTTTGTTATAAAACTTAATTTGTACTGCAAAACTTAATTTGTATTGTGAATCTACACTTTCTATTTGTTAAGATTTGCCCTCATAGAAACTATTTATGAATCTCACAAACCATTCCGTCTAGCCAGTACTACAGTAATGCTATGGTGGTGCCAAGGAATTGTAATTCTTACTCTGTGATGTTTTAAAACAAAATGTGAATTTTATAAACCAAATAAAAAATATGAAAAATTGCCCTTTGAAAGGCTAACTTGCATTTATGACTTTTATTTCTTGATTTTAATAGGGTAGTCCTGGGAAAATAAAAGCCCATAGGATCTTTAAAGGGTTAAGTGGTATGAGCCTAATACTTAAATGGATAATTAAGGGAGGAGTACAAGCATTAAACAAGTCACTACTCCATTTAAGCTAACACAGCTTCCTTCTCTAACAGCAGAAATCACTCCTTAGGAGTCCCTTTGTCCAGTGTTCACGTAGATACGGCACCTTTTACCAATATGATTTACAATCAGTAACCGACACAAAGCATTCTAGGACAGACCACACCATTATCTCCCATGTTGATATTTATTACATTAATAACATTTCTAGCAAAAACAAGTAACAAGGTCAATAACTGAATTCACATTGACAGGTTTCATTTTGATCCATTAGCCAATTTGGAAAAAAGCCATATTGATCAAAGGGATTAAAAGTAAAAAGCACCTTTTCCTTGCTACATATAGTATTTTTAAACACAATGGCTCTAAAACTCCAAACAGATATCAAATGCAAAATCCAACTTCCAGGACTCTCATTTTAATGGGACTATCACATGGACTTGTCTCTTACATTTGTTTAATCATTTATACAGTTACTAAAAAACCATATACTTTAACTATTGGGCAGGAAAACTGAAAATAACAGCTGTGAGAATTATACTCCACAGTAAATACTTTTTGTACTGAATTCTCATGTCACTGAGAACCTTAACCTAGTCTAACATTTAGAGATAACTTACAACTATCATTTTTTGGGAAACATTTTTGGTACTTCAGTCAAGTGCTGAGTGAATCTTATTCTAAACTCTAGGGCTAGAATTTAAACTTCCAACACTCTCATCCCCAGGTAACACAATTAGGAATATTCAGAAATCCAGATACACCTTTTAGATCTTCATTTCAGAGCTATGCTTGATAAATGACATTTGAAAAAGAATGACTAATATAGAAATTAGTGGAATTTATACTCCTGAAGCCACCTACACTCATCTTTAGGTTTTATATATTTACAGTATTGTCCAGGAGAAATTAAAAGAAAAAAGTTACACTATTTTCCAAGCTCTATTCCAGATGTCTGCTTATTAAAGACTTGTGGTTTATGCAAAGGTGAACCATTGTCCTCTAAAATTACACTATACTACTTGTAGAGCTAATAGTAAAATACATCAACCCAAATCTTATGAAAGCAGCACATCCTTAGGAGTAACTAGTATATAAAAAGTATCAACATCAGTGGTTTGAATATAAAAATTTATTTTTAAGTCAAAGTATGCAACAAATAAAACCTACAGAAAACAGATTTTCCCATCACAATCTGTTGCTTTACCAAATAATATTTTGAAAACACATTCCTTCAGTCATTATAAAGTTCTTAAAATACAAAAGAAATTAAATCTGTAAGAAAGTCTAGTAGACCAGACACTGTTGTCAGGACTTTGATGTTGGTGGTTATACTTTAATACATCCCACGCCATCCACCTCCACTCATGCCACCTTGCCCATAGTAACCTCCACTGCCTCCACCGCCACGGCCTTTGAAAAAAAAACAAAAAACACAAGAATTGTTTAGCAGGAAATATCAGTGCATACTACGTTAAAGATAACATGAGCTTAAAAATGTCCACACATGGGGACTAACAGATCAAACCACAGTAACCAAAGACACTTACCATAACCACCCAAGCCATCAGGAGTACCATATCCTCCACTGTAATTGTTACCCATTCCCATTCTTCCAACAGATCCATAACCTCCCTGATTATCTTAAAAAGAAAAAAAAAAAGTTTGAGATTGACTGTAAAATGTGTAACTCTGCTTATTTAAAAAACTTTACATACCCATTCCATCTCTGCCATAGCCTCCCATTCCAGAACCTCCCATTCCAGAACCGCCTCCAGGAGTAGAATTCAAGAAGAGTTCAATGTACCGATGTTCTTTAAGAAAAAAGAAAAGATTAATAGGGATGAAAGCAATGATGGATCAAATTTATCAATAAAAGCATAAAAATAATGACTAGCTAATATTAACCTGAAAGCATGTTTATAGACTTCCTATTTACAGACTTCCTAGTGGAGTGATAAAATGAATGCCAGATGGGCTACAAACCTAACTTACCAAGTTTGTTCAAATTGTACAACCCTGAACAAGCAAAAACTGGACGAGGACTCTGCTTCCTCATCTATAAAAAGGGCTGATTCATTATTACAGAACCAGCTAGTGTACTTTTTAAAAAATATTCCATGTCCCCAGGGACACCTGGGTGGCTGGCTCAGTTGATTAAGCATCCATCCCACTCTTGACTTCGACTCAGGTCATTATCTCATGGTCATGAGATCCATGAGACCAAGCCCTACATCAGGCTGTGTGTGCTGGGCATGGAGCCTGCTTGGGATATTCCTTCCCTCTGCCCTTCCCTTACACGTGCTCGCTTTCTCAAAAAAATGTATATTCCACGTCTCAAGAACCGAATTAGAATCATGAAAGTAATGTCCACAAAAACCTATTTTCTACTGACTACAAAATGATCTGTGTATAGTCAGATTTAGGAATCACTAGTCAGGGTAAAATTTAATATTTAAAATGGATTTGATAACATGCAGAAATAACTTCCCCGAGTTAGTTGACATATGGGTTAAGTGGTGATTTGCAAATGGCATGGGAACTCAGGCAAATGCAAGTAACATACCTATTTTCCCTCATTAATAACTTAAGCTGTAACAACCTGTCAAGTACTAAGCCTGAATTACCTTTTCATTAAAAAGGCCCGTAAAAAGCCTTTAAAAAGTCTAAACTTATTAGAGGCCATATGGTTTCAGGTCCCAA